TTTAACTCACCTGACACGTCCCCTCTGTACAAGTCTGTGACATCACACAAGTCACGTGACCAACAGGAAGTAGCAGCATTTGAGTTTCCTGAAGGCCAGGGGAGGACAGAAAGTAAGTTCCCTGTCTGAATGTGATCTCTCAGTTATTATGTTGCAGACACAGAGCTGAAGAAAAGCTTAGTTACAACATGCAGACGGTTTCACAGATTGAGCGTCAGAGTGTCCCTGAAACATCTGCAGACACTTTGGACTGACAGGGATTAAACCTCAGTTCAGACACAGTGACGCAGAGAATAGTGTTTGTGCTCATGACAGAAGCTCAGCAGGCTGCTGAAGATGTAAAACCTTTGCTGAATTAGAGCACATGTTTGTTTTTAATCTGATGTTCTCTCTCGTTGTTCCTCTGGAGAAGAAAAGAAAATGAGAGCTCTGGATGAAAACAAGGCAGCCCTCGAGCAAAGACTAGTCATGTCAGAGAGGAGCCTTCAGGATGAGGTCCAGAGCATTGCTAACGTCATGGACTTTGGGTTCTCCAGTATCATGAGGATACTGGAGAACCAGAGGGAGCAGTTCAGACTGGATCTGGAAGACGTGCAGACGGAGATGGAGAAGATCAGGGAGAAGCTTCAGGTCCTGGAGAGGAACATAGCAGAGTGTGAAGAAAGACAGGAAATCCACAGCATTGAGGAATATTTGAGAGACAAGCAGAGGCTGTTAAGAGTCCAGTGGCAGCTGGAGAGGAGGAAGGAAGAGCTGGAGCAGCTGCAGCTGAACACAGAGAGGGTGCTGCAGAGTAGAGAGGCAGAAGGTCTGAAGCTGCTGACAGAGAGAACAGTGACATTAAAGACTGACATGAAGCAGCTACATGAACGACTGCAGCAGGTAGAGACAGAGAGGGAAGAGCTGCAGCGCTCCTGGTGTCTCATCTCATAAAGTTCACTGTGGTCACGTGTGGTGGGTTCAGGGTGTGTTCACACCTGCACAAACCAACCGAACAGGACAGGACAGGTGTGAACGCATCCTTAAAGTGCACCAGAAAGTGGCCCAACAGAAAGAGGCCTCAGTCCTCTTGTGTTCACACTATAGCTTATATATAATGCATGCTGACAGTTTGTTTTTACTTTACATCCTGCGTCCAGATCGACATGGTTTTGTCTGTTTGTTAAAGCGTCCCAGGTCAACATCATGTGATCTAGACAGCTGAACTCAACGGCAAAGAGCAAAGTGAACCTGGAGCGCTTTGTGTTCACAGTGCACAGGTTAGTGAACCGCGTGGTGGACTTGAAGTGAACCGAACTCAAGAGGGGTCTGAGATCTCTCAGAGTGTTCACATATGTGCAAAAAATGTTGAGTCACTGCTCTGAGTCAGTTCAGAAGGCTGAAAAGGACCAAATGTGATTATTAATTATTAAGTGATTGATAGGTGATATTAAGATTGAATATTAATTAGCAACAATCAAAGCTGAGAGTTTGATAGTGAAAAACTGTGACTGTGTGCTCTCTGCTGATGAACCACTCTTTATTATCTGACTCCACCAGATGGCGCTCTTGGTTGAAGGACTGACAGTGACTCGAAAATTAGATAGATAGATAACATGAGTCAGGTTAAAGAAATATATCAGTCTATACACACATACATACATACAAATATACATACATATAGGCGTACTTACATACACACATACATATACATATACACACGTAT